TATTTCATTATTCGAAATGATAAACTTCAAAATCTAAAATTTATTTTTTTACAATATATTTCATCCTATTGTCAAGGCTAAATTTTTCACCGGAAGTGTATCAAAAATTGATAAGATTTACGGTGATCTAATTATGACAATTCAATGCATCTCGTGATATAACGCAGATATAAACACAACTGATATTGCATAACTAATAATTGAGTCAAATAACTAAATTATGTGTTATATTTTACACATTTCTTCAATTTTGTAATAAATGGATGTTTAACACTAATTTTTTAAGGACTTCGACTTTAGCATCACATAAATATGTTATTTTCTATATTAAAACGTAATTTTGGTGGTCTTAGAATAGAAAAATATGCAATATTCGTGGAGATAATGAGGGTTCTTAAACATGTTCTTAAAAATAAATAAAATAATACAAATCTTTATTCAATCTTTTGATATTGTTGGTCCTTTCTTTGTGAAAATACTTAACTTCAAAGAGTATTATGTTTTACCTAGTGAGGACCTTAAGTTTGCAAAAACATAATAAAAGTAAAATAAAAAAGATCGGATTTATCACAAAACTTTGAGTATTATAGGATTTAATATATTTTCTTAGTAGATTATATGATTTAGTTTCTTAAAATCTAAAGTATTTCTTGAGGAAAATATAAATTGAAATTCAAAAAGTAAAAAAAATGTAAACAAATCAAATTAGGGATGCGTTAAACACGCCATTTGACCGGGCGTACATTTTTTTTGTTCGCCCAAAAATTTCGCCATTTGAGAAATTCAAAAATTAAAAATAAAATCTTAATCTTGATTTTTTTATTTTCGTGATTTTTTTGAAACTTACATAAGCGATGAAATACTTTTTTTAAGTAATCGTTTATTATATATAAATATATCTTAATAAATTTAATTCCTTAAGGTAGAGCGTGTTCAAATTTAAAATCTCATACAATATTTTCTTAATGGCGTATTTTTCTGAGGTCGCCCAAATAAAGGCGAATTCAAAATTGAGAACTCCAAGGCGTATGGCGAGTATTCAAAAAGTACGCCACTTACAAAATATTGAATGTGGATTATCAATTTTTTGGCGTGTTCAATTTCAAATTTTGATATTTATGTTTATTTTATTCAGTATAATGCTAAGAATTAAAATATAAAATTCATAGAATTTTTTCTTTGAAAATATTTTACATTTTTATTAGACCACCCCTAGACTAGTCATCAGGTTATCCTCAGATCATCCTCAGACTACTCCTTATCAGATTACTCATCATCCTCAGACTACTCCTTAGACCCCTCCTCATCAGACTACTCCTCAGATCTTCCTCATAAGACTCCTCCTCAGATCTTCCTCCTGAGACTAATCTTCAGACTACTCCTTAGAGTCCTCCTCATCAGACTAGTCCTGAGACTAGTCCTCAGACTACTCCTGAAACTACTCCTCAGATTATCCTCAAACTACTCCTCAGTTTAATCCTCAGACTCCTCCTCAGATTATCCTCAAACTACTCATCGGTCTAATCCTCAGACTCCTCCTCAGATTATGCTCAGATTATCCTCAGACTACTCCTCAAACTCCTCAGTCTAATCCTCAGACTCCTCCTCAGATTATCCTCAAACTCCTCCTCAGATTATCCTCAGACTACTCCTCAAACTCCTCAGACTACTCCTCAAACTCCTCAGATTATCCTCAAACTCCTCAGACTACTCCTCAAACTCCTCAAATTATCCTCAGACAACTCTTGAAACTACTCCTCAGACAACACCTCAGATTATCCTCAAACTCCTCAGATTATCCTCAAACTCCTCAGATTATCCTCAAACTCCTCAGACTACTCCTCAAACTCCTCAAATTATCCTCAGACAACTCTTGAAACTACTCCTCAGACAACACCTCAGATTATCCTCAAACTCCTCAGATTATCCTCAAACTCCTCAGATTATCCTCAAACTCCTCAGACTACTCCTCAAACTCCTCAGATTATCATCAAACTCCTCAAACTACTCCTCGGTCTAATCCTCAGACTCCTCCTCAGATTATCACTTTACATATATATATCGATAACTAAATAATTACTTATTATACTTTCTTTATTTTTTTTAATTTTAAAATAATATTAATATATCTTTCTACGTTTAATGATGAAAAGAGAAAGAGGAGTAAAAAGAGGAAAGAGAAAAGAAAGAGAGGAGAAAGGGACAAACTATCCAGTGTCACTTTTCAAAGGAATAAAAAAAATAATAAAGATGAAATAATAACATGAAATCTTATATAAATATAATTTTATCTAAATAGATAAATGAATTAAGCAGTTTACAGTTATATATATTTAATGAGAGACAATATCTAGTTCTATGGTAGAAATGACTCTTAGACTCAAATAAGTAACACAGATAGAAAGTACTCAGTATAACAATTATATATGTACACTCAAAGTTAGTCGCTGCTAAAATCTTAACCTTGCATTTCGGGAAAATCTGACAAATGGCTCTTAGACTCAAATAAGTAACACAGATAGAAAGTACTCAGTATAACAATTATATATGTACACTCAAAGTTAGTCGCTGCTAAAATCTTAACCTTGCATTTCGGGAAAATCTGACAAATGGCTCTTAGACTCAAATAAGTAACACAGATAGAAAGTACTCAGTATAACAATTATATATGTACACTCAAAGTTAGTCGCTGCTAAAATCTTAACCTTGCATTTCGGGAAAATCTGACAAATGGCTCTTAGACTCAAATAAGTAACACAGATAGAAAGTACTCAGTATAACAATTATATATGTACACTCAAAGTTAGTCGCTGCTAAAATCTTAACCTTGCATTTCGGGAAAATCTGACAAATGGCTCTTAGACTTGTTTTGATAATTAATTCTTCAATTATATTATAATTTATAACAAATTTCCTCAAACTATCTGTATGTCATTCAATTCCCGGCCACTACATTCAATGATGGACCATTTCCTTCAAATTTTGAAATACCTTATTCAATTTGTTGTATGGAGCCTGTGATATTCAACACTATGGAGCTCCTCCAGTTTGGTATCCAAGAAGAGATAAAAGCTAGCATGGGCTACTCTCAAAAATGCTTGAAGCAATATATTCAAGTTTGCAACAAGGATCAATAGATTCAAATCTTGTTTATTGTACTTTAAAGGTACTTTTAAAAAAGAAACAATTAATGTAAAAGATTCAAATAATTTTTTATTATTATTTTATTAATTTTTTAAAATAAGGTTAATAAAAAAGTGACACTGGATAGTTTGTCCCACACTCGAAAGAGAGAGAAAAAAAAGAGAAAGAAAGAAAGAAAAAAAAAGGACGGCGATAATTTTGTATTGTTTTGTTATTCGGCCGAATGGCGGGTACGAAGTAGCCGCCATTCGGCCCCAAAAATGGCGTATTATTCTATTTTTAAACGGTCATGGCGTAAAACCGTCGCATCCCTAAATCAAATTTTAAATGGACCAAATGTTGATTTTTCATTCGTTTTCTCATTATCGAAAAAAATTTGGAAAGCTAAGAAGTCAATAACAAGTTATATAATACAACAAAACCCACATCGGATATGTTTTCATTAAATAGTCTCCTAGATTTGTTATGAAATTAAAATATCATGATATTTTAAGGGCTTTTGATTTCAATATTAGAATTATTCAGTTATGTCGTGCTAATATCAATTGCTTTATACAATTAATCGTTTACAAGCTGCAAAAATCGAACAATAATTTGACTTTGTAAAAAAAGTGCGTCATTTTTATTCGTTATACTTACAAAATGTAAACATTACGAGAAACATTTACATTTGTAAATGTAACAAGTAAAGTTGTATCGCATAATTTGACTTTGTAAAAAAGTGCGTCATTTTTATTCGTTATACTTACAAAATGTAAACATTACGAGAAACATTTACATTTGTAAATGTAACAAGTAAATACATCAGATTTAAATTGTAAATGTAGTTTATCTCTCTCATCTCCTTTTTAAAAGGTATTACATACATACGAACGCATGGGTTACTCAATAATTAGCGTGATAATAATTGAGGATAGACTGTAATCGTAATTTTATTTTTGGACTTATATTTCGACATTTTGAAGTCGCTTGAAAGTCTTGCAAATGATTAAATTTGGAAAATTTGACCTAAGTCTGCATTATTTTGATGACTTAAACAATTCTATAAATCTGTTTTCCTAAAAATTTAAAAAGATATAATTTCAATTTCCCTAAATTTATGTAATTCATATATCACCAAAATATTTGGACTGCATTTCGTTTGTCTGCACCTAATTAAAGTCTAAATACCAATTAATTTTGGAGTTGCATTGCTTTTAATGTAAAAATGCACGTTTAGAAAAAGACGATAACGATTAAATTACAAAATCGATAACGACGACGATTAAATTACAAAATCGATAACCTCTCCTTTTGGCTCGTGAAGGTTACGGTGTAACAAATGTTGATGACTTTTGGTTTGGCCGTTGGGGAGGTTCTTACCTTCATTATTGGGAGAACTATACAAGATCGGAGCCTCTAACAGATACAGACTCTGCTTTCTCCATTGGAGAGTTTGACATTTGGTGTTCTTCTTGGTGTTGGTGACAACTTAAAGAATCCACCAATCATTAATGTTACAAATCCATTCCAGGAGAACTACAATCCAAACTCTAAGGTCACTGTAACTGTAGATGTCCAAGATTATGATGCTGATGAAACAACAACACTCTATTACAACTTCACGGATGGTACAAGAGAATATACCAATGTTGCAGTAAAGAGTTGGAGAGCTGGATCAAATGGCTTCTCTGATTCTTGCTCATTTGAAGTTACACTTGGAACCAATGTTTCAGCATATCCTTTGACTGTTTGGGCTGAAGATAGCTTTGGTTATAAATCAAACGTCTTCACAAAGCAACTTCTTGTTAACCAGGCTCCAAGGTTGACAATCACCAACAATATTGCTTCCACATATTACACAGGTGGTACAGTTGATGTTCAAGGCAAGCTTTGGGATGATACATATGCTGTTATTTCATACCAATTCGATGATGACTTTGCTTTCTCTGTCAACTCTCAAATCGACTGCTACAATGTCGAACTTTCATTCCGTAAGACATTCGCTCTTAGAGAGAACATCCTTAATTATGGTACCCATGTTCTTCACATCTGGGCAACTGATGAGTTCGGTGTCAAGTCAGCTTAATTTGACTTCCGTTTTGAATATGTCCAACTTCATGCTCCAGAGATCCAGCTTACTACAACATCAACAACTGTTCACTACAACGATGTAATCACTGTTTCAGGCAAGTTCAGAGATCTCGATTCTGGTGATACATTGACACTCAGTGTTAAGTATCCAACAGATGATCCAACAGCTCCATTCAATCCATTCTACACTGTAACATCTCAGGGCACCTGGATTGACTTCGAGTTTGAATCTACAGTTCCACATCTTGATGCTGGTGACTATCAGCTTATTTTCATTGTTGTTGATCAACGCGGTTCAAACTCTCCAGATGCAACATTCACATTAACTAATGGCAAGTATCAAAATCCATCTACTTGCATAGTGAATGTGAACATTCAAAACTTTCTTTGGATATGTAAAGTAGTTTTATGCAAAATACTTTTCACAGGCGATTTTTAAACAGTGTGTCAGCTTGTAGTAATGGATAGAACTTAATAATATCAAATCATCACATCTCAATTTATTAAATATCTATCAAACCCTTGTTATATATTTCATTCAGCCTATACATTATAAATAGATATACTTTATGATTCTGGAATTTTCGCAAACAGTGTATTTCATCATAAAATCTAAACTATTGATTCTAAATTTCTTTTTTTTTCAAAAAAAATCATCAATATGAATAATAGAATTTAATTCATAAGTTTTTCATTTGTAATCAGAATTTAAAATTTGACAATTTTTTGAAAGAAAAAATAAAAATGATCATCAAAGATTCTAATTTCAGATGGTGGTTATCTATTATTTTTACATATGTAACAGTAGGTATTGTCTACGGAATCTACTTAATACCTCTGCAATTTAAATATACTCAAAAAACTCCTCCATTCTACAGTAGAAATTCAACTAAACCTTTCAATAGATCGGAAGAACCTATTTTTGTATTACATTACTCAGACGTTCATGTGAATCATGTTGCAGAATCAAACAACCAAATTTTTCGATCAGCTGTCGAATATTCCAAGAAAGTTAAACCCTCAATGAATATTTTAACAGGAGATTTAGTAGATGACTTTCCATATAATGATTATCCAAAATACGGCAGTCAGCAACCAAAAGATTGGGAAATTTATCGAAATATCACTTCCGGCATTGACAAAGATGTTTGGTTCGAAATTGCCGGCAACCATGATGAATTTGGCGTATTTTCATTCGATTCAGACGGTCACAACTTCCGCAAATCCATCAAAACGAATTTATCAGATATTTCTCAGTTCCATTTACAAGAAAGGATCGTTCCTACCAACGGTGGCTACAATATACACATTATAGGTGTTAATCCTTTCGTTTATCCATCAGCGCATCCTCCTTTTGTTTACTGGCCTCGTCCATCTCGAGAAACAATGGATAAATTAGAGGAAATAATAGAAAAAGTTCCGGAAGGAGATGAAGTGATCGTAATGGACCATTATCCTCTCAAATTATTCCCTCCACACAAAAGAACTTCAAGTGGAAAGAATTTTCAAGAATTAATGACAACAGGAAAGGTCCATTACTTCCTGTCTGGCCACCTTCATCCTGCTAAGCCTAAATTAATGCATTTTCCGAACCTTCTTGAAGTTGTTGCCGTTGATTCAAAATCTCATAATTATATTGGCTGTTTTACATATGACAATCATAGATTTGTATATCACCAAGTTAATATAACAAGACCACCATATGCTTATGTCACAAATCCAGTTCCTACTTCTCAATTAACAAATCATCAAATTTTTAATGAGGTCGGAACACCTGTCAGAGTACTTTCCATGCATTCAAAGATGCCTAAGATCACAGTGTCAGGCGATCTCAATGGAGAAATGACTTGTAAAAAGCTTAATAGTGGTCATTTCCTTTGCGAACTCGAAAACAACTTAAAACAAGGCCAATACTCTATCTCACTTAACGGATCCATTACAAAAACCGTAAACTTTACAATTGGTGAGAAATCTGATTGGTACTTAGAAGCGGAGTACAAAGATGTTAACAATGAAAGGTATATATTCCAAACTATTTTATTGTTCATTGTTATTTTGTTCTTCATCTTTCCACTTCCGAAATCCAAATTCGCCGAAGAATTTTTGGATATTCTTAATGGAGTTCAAACAGAAATCAGCACAACCAAGCTTATTATCATTATACTATTCGGATGGATACTAAGCATAAGGTTTAGAATCCAAAAACTTTCATTTTGGATCAAAGGCTTATTATTGGTTGCTTTGCTTTGGCCATTAGTTCTCCCAGCCATATTCTTGGAGATAGAAGGCCACAAAGGGTTTATTTGGATGTGGGGATACGAATGTGGCGGAAAATTCTATTACGCAATTTAGGGACAAAGAAACTGCCTTCATTACTACTTGTACGTATTAGCTCCTGCATGCGTTCTTGCTGCTTCCTTGTCTATGACTTACAAGTTCTCATTCTCTTCATTTATTCCTGTTTTGCCAGATATCGCACTTTGCATTTTATGCATTGTGAAGAATGCGAAATTGGTCATCAGATACGTCTACGAATCTGTCGGATTCACTTACGCTCCTTCAGCTCCAATTCATGTTATTTGGCCAATCGTTCTTTACCTTTCTCTCATAGTTTATAGATGCATATTAGCATTAAAGAGAGAAATAGTTTCAATTGACCTCAAAGATTCATTGCTTTCGGCAACTTAAACAAAATTATTAGTAAATTTAATCATCTGAATTATTTTTTTCCAATCGTTGATATTAGTTAAATATAGAATGTATCCGCGTTTGTATCCAAGCTTGTCAACAATATTCATGAATTTATCAAATGTTTCTTTGTTATATGTGATATTTCTTCTTGTGTGATGTTATCAGCAGAGTATGTTCTCAAAATTATAAGTAATTCAGAATTGTAGACTCTGTTGCACTTACATAAATTCATTACATTTTTTTCTCTAATTATTTTCCTCCCTTATTATATTAAATGAACTTACCCTACAAATATTTGGACTTCTTCAATAACATGAATCTCATAGCTCAAAATTCGAAAAGAAGATTTATTCGTTTTTAAAGTGCACATAGATATGACCAATATAAAATATAGTGACAGCAATGTCCTATTCGAATTTAACTGTGTTAAGAATATCATTGAAGAATTATAGCCGAAAATTTAGATCCGACATATCAGGCGCGATTAATAAATAATATAATATGAAACCATGTATAGTAACATAATACTGCAATTATACGTTGTCAACATTCAATAATTAAATATTTTACTCGTAACTTAAGTCGAAATTAATTGGGATACTATACACATCATGCGTTAGATTACCTATTGAAGTTCCGAGCTATTCTATTGAATTATGGGCTAAGAAAAAAATTTTGAATGGAGATATGACTGTGGAAAAAACTAATTTGACCAATACACTTAACAGATTTAATTATTACAAGAAAAAGAGACGACATTATTTGACATTCAAATTATTTGAAGGCTAATGAACACTCTGGTTGAGTTTAAATGATTTACAAATCAAAGAAAAATTGACTTTAAGAGGAAAAAGTTTTCGTCATTTATATTCACTAATATTCGAATACAGATTTTTAAAGTTGGTTGTCTCAATTTTCATCCTTAAAAATTTCCTTTCTCAAATTGCCGCATAAATTGAATCGGAGCTGACATTTTATAAATACGTTTGAAATTTTTATCATTAGCATATCAATTCTTACCAACATTTTTAAATAAATTTTTGAATTCACAAAAGTCAAATTCTCGAAAAACATTCCGCAACAAAAGTATTATATTAATTATAATTCCAATCTTTATCAAAAATTGAATACTTTATTATTGTTGTTTCAACAAATAGATTCTTTTTATAAAATCATTACAATTCATATTTGGCATTATAATTAAATTTATTGTTTTGCTACCCACTCAGAATTCGATGAATTTAGATTTTGTTACATATCCAATATATTTATTAAATTCTTAAAATCAAATTTCTATACTTCTTGAATTTCATTAAAAAGAATTAATTCAATTTTTCAAAAAAATGAAGACCGAGAATAAAGCTCGTTTTAGAGTAATTTTAGAGAATTTCCTTCCATACATTAATGCATCTTATGACGAACCAATCCGCCGTGGAAGGAGCCTCAAACTTCCTTTCGTTATGCCCGAGTTGTTACGAGATTTATTAACAGAAGTCAAGGAAATTTTTCAAAATGAACCAAACATTTTAACCGTTCCAGACAATACAGTGATAGTTGGCGATCTTCATGGCCATATCTTCGATCTATTTCGAATTCTCCACAACTTTAAATTACCTCCACTCAAAAATTATTTATTCCTTGGAGACTATGTTGATCGTGGTGAGTTTTCCACTGAAACAGTAATACTTCTCTTTACTCTCAAAGTCTTATACCCAAAAAACGTTTATATGATCAGAGGAAACCATGAATTTTTCGAAATTTTCTCGGATTTGGATTTCTACAATGAACTGCTCATGGTTTATGCTCAAGATGACATTGTTCAACTTTTTAATCAGGCTTTCTCTTTTTTGCCATTGGCTGCCATTATTGATAAATTTGCGCTTGGAATACATGGTGGCTTAGGATATAGCTTCACTAGCTTGTCACAGATAGAATCCATCCAGAGACCAATCGATGAATTCGATGACGGCGTTCTATCAGATTTATTATGGAGTGATCCAGCTCCAAACGAACTCGGATTTAATCCATCACCTAGAGGAATGGGATCCTTGTTCGGAACAGATGTCACTAAGAAATTTTTGGAAAATTCTCCAGTTGAAATTATTATTCGCGGTCATCAATGTATTGATAACGGGGTTGAGAAATGTGATGGTCATCAGTTGTATACCGTATTCAGTGCATCGCGATATTGTAATCAGCTAAGAAATCAATCAGGAGTTTTAATTATCAGACAGAGACAATTTGAAGCACATACATATCCACCACTTCAATATATATACCGAGAAGAAGTTAAATTCATTCCAACAACTATTACAAAAAGTGCAAGTGAACTTCCATCATTTCAAACTCGGACAACATGCTCGATGAAGCTGACTCGTGCAGAAACGCAATCAACACCAAGACTTAATTTATTATTAAGTGAAGCGGAAGAAAAATTAGAACCACGTCCGCTAACTCCAAGAAAAAGATCAATGCAAAGGGATAGTATCACGAAAAGACTATTTGAGAATTCTTGCCATAAGATAGGCATTAAATACCAGAATTCATTCACGACAGATCGTTTACCTTTCGAAATTAAAGAACCTGATAAAGCAGTTCCTCCTTCACCAAGAAGAAATAGAAATAGATGCTAGAGATATAGAGGTTTTATTATTGTTTTTTTCAATAATATCTTTCATATAAAGTATTTTTCTATCAAAATTTTTAACAATTTTTCAAGAAATACAGCTTTATTTGTTAATTTTGGACTTTAACACATGGAACAAAAGTTACTAAAGAGACTGTCAACATATAGCATTGGATAAATCTGAAATATTCAAAACGCCGACATGTTCGACCAATTTAAATTTTTGAGAATCTTCTCAATAATTGAGATAATGATGTCAAATTTTTTGAAGGCACAATTTAATCCCAAGAAATTTGAACGCCAAAATAGTATTATTACCACAAATTTTAAGGATAAGTTATTTCTAAAGTTTTGGATATAAAGTTGCCTCAAAATCTCGATTGAAAGGCATTGAATTTAGTTTTGAGAAGACTTTTTTACATTTTGCGAATTATTAATTAGTATATCATTAAGATCATATTGTATTAAGTTATCAATTCTCTTAAATTTTGAAAGCTTAAGAAATTTAAAAGCACAAACAAATATATATTATTAAAATCATTGTATTGATCAATTTAAAAAATTTTGAAATTTTGAATTCGAATTTAAATGTAAGCATTAATAGTTGTAACAGAATAGGAAGCATCACAGATGTCAATTTAGATTAATGAAAAGTTGAAATTTTTCCAATAAAATTTTATTAATGAAAAAAGATTCATGAAATACAATAATAGTAATATAGATATTTTATACAACATGTTATATAAGAGATCACTATAAATAGAATAGCTTTAAACAAAATAATCAAATCAAAATTTGTATTTGTAAACAGCAAGAGTGTTATATGCTAATATTATGTGTAACTACTCATTGGATAATGAATGCAATATAATATATTGATTTATTGGCTAAAGAAAAAAAAATATATCCTTCAATTTGGACAATCCGAAATTTTTCTCATTTTTTTGAATTGCATATATATGAATTTGCAATTGAGCGATATCAGCGAGAAACTTATATGCACGTTTAACTTGATCAGATTTCAAATGAAAACATGGATTTTATTGATTGTTTTTCAATACGAGCTCAACAAAAATGATACAAAGATGAATAAATAGTAGTGCCCCTAAAAACAAGGTAAAAAACAAAAAATTAGCAACAATATACTTAATTTCGGCCAATATGGTGAAAAGTGAATATGTCAAAAACATTTACTCCATCATCTTGTTATCTGTACCTCACGACAGACGAATATAAAGAGATATCAATTTCCAAAATTTTACCAAAAAGAGATTAGGCCTAATTTTTACGGCCAATCTTTATTATTTGTTACACAGATGCTAGATCTACTACTCCCCAAAATAATTCATTTTTTGAATGGCCCTGTTTTTTAGGCCTTCATTTTATGAAAAATGCCAATATTATACGAATCTTAATATATTTATTTTTTTGTTCTCAATAAAGGTATTCAAAAGTCAATATAAACCATTCAAAATTGAGAGGAAACTCATTGAGAGGCTCGGAATTCGAGTAGTGAGGAAGGGTAAATTTTGAGAGCCAAAATTTCAAATCCCCTCAATATTTCAAAGCCCTTCTACTTAGATTTTGTGACTACCTTATCATTTTTAGTGGATATACTTAGAACCATTTAATGAGTAGCGCAATCCATAATTCTGGAAAATAGCAAGTTTGGTACATATGTTTTTGAAGGATTTTATTATCAATATCATCTATCTCTTTAATTATTAAATTTTTCTGCATTAATGCTACGATCTATCTTGCATCTAATTATTAATTAATATGAACTAATAAAAATTACTATTTTTCATGAAATAATGCAATCAACTCCAATTACCAATCATCTAGTGCAAACTAAGCTTGCTGTACTAGAACATATAGCATTAAAAACTACAATTAAACATAAAGAACTTATTCATGCATGTTTGAATAAAATCGTTCAAGGTGAATCACAAAAAGTATTTCTTGTACACATCAAAATTGAGTTTAATTCAACGAGAAGAAAAATTTCATCACATATCTAGTTCCACTATTCAAAACCAATATTGGGATTGTAATCTTTTAGAAAAGAGAAGAATGAATTCAAATTCAATTTTGAACTTTCGACTAATACAATCATGATATGCCTTATTACATTGGCATTTCATCAAATTCAAAAGTTCAAATTTAATGAAAAATTCTAAAATGAATGAATTATCCATAAATAAAGATAGATATTTATATAAATAGCTAATAGTAGTTAGTATTATCTAATAAAATAAATAATAATTAAAGGAGATTTTCTGTAATTCCGTCTCCTTTGTTTTCATCAGCATTAGAGTTAGGGTCATCAACAACATCTTCATTTTCATCCTTTTCTTCTGCCTTTTTGATCAATTCATCATCCTTCAACTCCAATTCCTGAAGTGTAAGTCCTGGCTGCGGTTTATCAGAAATATTGTGAAGCTTGTTAAAGTAAAGACACATTGCAAGCAAAACAAATTCCCAAAATCCGTCAGCAAGTGAAGCTGCATAAGTTGTCCAACTTTCATGGTTTCCGAAGCACATAAACATGGCATTAGCAATGTTAACTGGTGCTTGTATTTCGAGCATGAGAAGAGAAAGTGATCCGCTGCTCCTCATCTTAAATGTTTTATAAATCTGTGGCAAAAATTGCAAAACTTCAATAATAAATCCGGCAATTCCAGCTGCATGTCCTAGTAAATCCATTGCATGAGATGTAAAGCCACAAGTTACTCCAATAATTCCCCAAATTAAAATACAGGATGAATAAGTAAGAACAGCAATCATTGAAACTGATCTGAATTGTTTCCAACCTTTTTTAATATCTGATTGATCGAGACCAAGTCTTAGATTTGTATCATAAAAAAGCATAATTAAATAAGGGACTTGAGACATTAAAAAGTACTGGGAAAAGCAGTTTGCGAATGTTAGGAATCTTGCGTATGATCTGAAATTGAGATGATGAAAGAGAGCAACGAAATCTTCCCATTTAAGGCAAATGACGTTAAAAACTATAAGCCAAAGACATATGGTAGAGAAGAATGTAGATACTGGAGCTAATCCATATGAGGATCTCTTCTGCATAATCTTTATTGGTTGTGGAATGTATGAAACAATTGTAATAATCAAAAGAACTGTTCCTACGATTGTCCATATGATTTCAGGCTTAGGAAAGAAGTAAGCAAAATCATTAAAACCATGAAAATCAATGTATGTTGGCAATTCTTCACTCATTTTGTTGTATTTCTGGTCTAGGAAATGTGACAAAATTCAAAAGAATCGTTAAACCATATGAACGCATTCAATTTATTTCAAAAATTTGAGATCATTGAATTGGAAAACGAAATGTAATTTAAATAACAAGTATTAAATATACAATATTTCGTAGTTTAAATTTTTTTTAATGAAAAACGACGATTTTTTAAAAAATCTTATTGAAAATCTTTATGTTATTGATATTTTTCAGATAAAATAAGTGCATAGTTGTTAGCATCATATGATATATAACATACTGAGTTTGATCAATTGAAACATAGTATTATTAAAAATATTCAATTAATTTGCTTAAATACTATGAAGTGATCAGTTATTGATTTAGTATGGAGAAGTATGACAGTTTACATACCATAAAAATATCGGTAATAATGAATAAATGTTGGAATTGATGCAAATTTCAGCTTTTTCGCTATTTGAAGTAGAAAAGAACAGAAAAGTCTGAATAAAAAGCCGTTTGATTTAAACAAGAACAAACAAAATTAACATGTTTACAAAATAAACAAAATATAATTAATTATAAAACAGTTCTTCTAAATATTTTAGTAAGCTCAAAAAACTCAATATCAGGAGTATTTTTTGCTTGCTCGATATCAATCGGAATTTGGAAATGTGAATCACTACAAGTTCCTTTTTCCATAAGTTCAAACAACACTTTACAGCCAGCTACCATTCTTGGAATATCGCATGGAATTGGATCGATAAAGTAATGTTGCATGTTAAAATGAGTAATTCCAACAATATACATGTTTGAAATCGCCGCTAAGTGAAAATTTTGGGTAATCTTTTTGTTTGGACATCATAGAGAGGTATCCTGTATTCTCCTGCATGAAGATGCAATTATAATATCCAGATCCACTTGGATGACAAACAACTTTTAACGTGGACCACGTTTTAACGGTTTTATTGATATCTTTGAAGTCCCAATCTTCTATTTGCCACTTTTCGGATTTCGGAGGACATTCTTTGGAAAGAGCAGCCAAAAGCTCATTAATATTATGAATTTTTCTTGACATACCTGGTCTGTTTATAATACTATACTTATATGGCTTCACATCTTTCAAATTAAATACTTTGAATACTAATTCTCTGAGTTTAATAATTCCTCCAACAGTATACTCATGCGCAAAGTGTAATGTTGACAAAATATATAGCTTTTTGACAAAAATTTGTTGAGTATTCAAATCAATATCTAAAACATGGACATTTTTATCCATTTTGAAGTATTCGAGATAATCTGTGATCAGGTTATAACCAGATGGACTTGTACAAATGTAAAATTCTTTGTCATACACTTCCTGCGGTACGTGCATCATCGCACAAAAGAAATCATGGATTAAATGACCCCATTGATATATAATTTGGGTGTAATATACACCGACATCATAAGTTCCGACTGTAGTTTTTTGTGTCAGTTGTTTTGGATCTTCCTCACAAAAAGTTCTAATTCTGGTATCTCTTATAGCTGGTTGCGGAGATAAATATGCATCTCGAACAATGTATACAATTGATTTGAGAAAAAAAATATTGTGAACAAATGAACTTGGAAGATTATTTTCATCTTTGATTAATCTTCCTTTATGATATCGCGATGGATCGATTCTTGTAACCGAATAATTGATTTTTGAATATCCTAAATTGAAAAACCAATCTGTTCGTGTAATTGTATTTTGATAATTTGGTGAAAAACTGTTTAAATAGAGCCAAACAAAATTATAAGGGTTTATAAATGAGATAATAAACGTCAACATGGAAAATTGTGTCAGGATTATCGTTAAAATATCATTATTTTCCATATTGAATGTCACCTTTGCCAGACAATGAAAAATTCCGAAATCTTTTTCATTAATTTGATACAAATATGTAAATATTTTTATGCGAATTTATTGACGGTTTGTCTAAAAATGACAAGAGTATTCCCGATCATAGAACCCAGATTCTCGAAGCAATACATATTATCAAAAGAATTTTTTGGTTACGACTTTTCTGTGCTCAATTAATAAGATTGATATTTTTGGCACTTAGAAGTGCCTCCACTCTGTATATTGAAGTAAATGGCTTGGTACTTAACTGTTAAACATGAATCTAGTAGGTGATAGTAAATACCTAACTCAGACTTGTACTACCCTCAGCTTCACCAGATTTAGATATGAAATTCACATGTTAAATGCAAAATAGTGAAAAAAGCAAAAGAAAAAGCATTCAGTAGTTGCTTATATAATAAATTACGCATTAAATACTTTAAATACATAGAATCCATTGAAATTTTAACTCGGTCTAAGTAAAGAAATCTAGATAGTGCCAATATTATAGTATATATAAGTAATATGGCATACACAGATACCATGTTACTCATGGATAGCTGTTCAGTTTTTTAAAAAATCAATAACGAATTTAAGTATTTAAAGAATTTCATAAATTTTACATACAATTATGCTTGATTTTGCATGCATACCTTGGTTTATTTATTAAATCCAATATATAAAAGATAATTAATTATGAATTTTAATTCATCATTTAAGCCATTTTTAATAAAAGAATTATGACATACAGTATTAATGCAAATATATTATCATTTATAAAATTCATCATGTTTAGAATGAGAATTTATTAAGAAATCTATTAAAGCATTTATAATGTAATAGCTTGTTGATGAAGGGTTAATATGTGACTCATCAACAATGAGCGATTGTTGACTATTCGGAATATCTTTATTAAGGGAAGCGTAAGAATTTATAATGAAATCGGTCTATTTCGAATAGTGAATGGCAACTTATTAATTGGAACATTGCGTTCTGATGATATAAAGAATAAATTTTGATTTTTTTTTTGCGATTTGAAGTTTTCCTCTCACGAGGTTTCATGTGTTAGCGTTTGCACGCATTCCCCTTCTTTTTAATCAATAATTTAGTATTGTCTCCGTACGAAACTTCCATTAACTCATATGCCCAAATTTCTGAAGAAATGGCAAAAATTAGCTATTTCCTTTCAATTATTTTTGCTTCTTTTTACGAAAATTATATTTGTTATTACATGTAGATTCTCGAAAAGTGAGAATGTCAGATTATTAAAGTTCCTTTTTGAATAGTTTACGTAAAATTAAAAATCAAATTTGAACACACATTTAGAATCTATGATATACTAAGAATTTATTTTCCCATATTTTTTGTCCATAAAACTCAAAATTGAGAGTGGTGGCACTTCTTGGCACTTTTTAGTTGATTGAAATTTTGGATGCACAACTCTTCGTGATACAGGGATTATGAAGAAAATATCAACATATGAATTAATTTATATTCATCACTTCAACATTTGATAAAATATGTAAAATATGGAAATATCAAATTCATATTTGAGTCAAAAAATCAAAATAACAAATGTCTGTTTTAAACTTATCTTACTAATACCAATATTTGATTGATCTATTCTATAAAAGTATCAATTTTTGAGATTTGTTGATATTTTCTGAATTTTCTAATTTAACTATCTTCTGTGAGATTTTGTCCACAACAGTGAGACAATTCCGCTTAAGTTATACTTTTCTGGACCCCAATTTTAATTTTATATTTTTATGAGCGATTCATTTATATAACAATATAAATGCAAACAATCTATACATGGCATGCTAGGCCTAAAATGTTTAATAGTCAGCTCCTCCAGTGGAGATCTTGGTTGCAGAAATATTTTACCTCAATCGTGCCATGTATAAACTAATCATATATTCTGGGTATAAGCATGTCGTTTTGTCCCCATTGGGGATAACAGCGTCCCCATCTTGAGAAGATAAGTTTGAGATGTCAGAGATTTTTAGTATACTGTCAAAAAGTAATCATGTTTAACATACACATGATATGATGATATGATTTTCATGTGGTTTGAACTAAAAATAATCGTCGACAATTTTGTAAATTATTTAGAACAGAAAAATAGAAAAAGAATGAGCCAGGCACAATATATGCTTGCGAGTGATAATCTTACCAAAGATCAACTCAGAAAATATAATGTTAGCGAATTACAGAGCGTTTTGACTTCTGTTGGCCTTCCTTCTGCCGGAAAAAAGCATGAACTTGTAGATCGAGTTTATCAATTCTGGAGAAGTATTGAAACACCTGAATCAGAAAAACCTGTAGTTCCAACTTCATCAATTTCATTTAAAGTTCCCGAATCTCCAAATATTTTAGAAATTCGTAGTAGACTTGAAGCTATTGGACCACTTAGAGCTATGCTATTTATACCAAAGGAGCTTAAATGCTATGCTATGTATAGAACCCCAGAAAATGCTCAACGATTTTTGGATTTATGCGAAAATTTGAATTATCAAGAAGCAGAATTTATTTCAGAAAACGAAATCGACAGATTTGCTAAACACAACGATCTTATAGCAGAAAGTTTCCAAGTTTCGAACACTGTACAAAAAACGTTCAATAAAACCTCATGCGAACCTAGAATTTACTGGTGCCCTGCTAGTGATTACGAATATAGCGATTCTGAAGAATAAGATTACATATTTTTGCTGTTTTTTACAAAAATTTTATTCAAATGTTTTAATCTATATTTGTATTGGATGAATTACATTCACATTAATTTGTACATCATCCTTTTTGTATTTATATTTAAAAAATGTCTTGAAATTATTTTTTTTAATTTTTTTTCTCAAAACTCATTTCATAAATGTCCAGGACATTCTAATTCAAAAAAGAAAGTTATTTTTGATAGAAATAAAATACAAACAAATAATTTATATAAAAAACATATAATACTCTATTGATAAGGGTTGACACAAGGCTGTGCATCATCGAAATTCTTTGGCTCCACGTTTGGAGAAGGAATTGGTTCAGGATATTGAATATATTGTTCATTTTTCGTTTCATCCGGGACAACAACGTCCTGGTCAGGAAATCCAGGCTGAAACGCTGCAGTAATTCTATCTGGAAGGTACATAAGGCCACTATTTGGCTGTATGTCTCTTCGATCTTCTTCTTCCTCGTTTTCAGCTGCCACTTTCCTCTTTCTGCAGCATAAAATGATAATAGTGAGTAAAGAAGCAATAATAATGACACAACAAACAAATATAATAATATATAACCAATAACTTATTCCAAATTGCTTCAATTGCGATTCAGTAATTCTTTGTGGAAGATCAGTAATGAAATATCCATCAAATGGGTTCACCCAATCTTCAGAATTAGTATCTATTCTAACTTTCGCGAATTTTCCGATGCCGGATACAATACATACTGCAGTAATGAACGTACTATAGTATGATGCGGTAGTATGGAAGCCGTCTTCAACTTCATAAGTGTTAAAAGTTGCAACAACCCAATTACTTAAAGAAATGGATACATCTGCAGTACGATTGTTGGAAAAATGATAAAAATATGCACCATCGGACTTTGAAAGGATGTTGACATTGATTGATTTGCTATTTGAAAGATAAGTAAGAATTCCTTTTTTTAATGTGAAGTAAATTGTATAAATTCCGATACCTTGCGGGTTCACTGGAGATACCTTGATTATGTTTTTAGCTGTAGGTCCGAAGAAAACTGCAAAGCCACTGTCAGTATTTGAAATACCATTAGTTTCATCATAGTAAGTGATTTGAAGTTCTTCTCCTTTGAAAACTGCACCGCCACGAACTTGAATACATAAATTTTCTGAAGCTGATCCTTCATGATAGTAATACGCAGTATTTAGAAGTGAAACGAAACTTGTACAACCAAGATCAGTTAACACAGAATCATTTTGGTCAAGCTCGACGTAATCACTTACTGAGAGACAGAGGAAAATAGAGAACATTGAAAATTTATGTATTCTAAAATTAACGATTATTTTGTATTCAATTCAATTTTTTTTGTTCTCCTTACAAAAATTTCGTGAAAAGTAACGATCATTTCTCTTAAATAAATTAATAAATGCTATTATTAAATAACTCTCTTAAAAATACAAAAATTTCTTTTGCATCAAAAAAAATTTCGATCACTAAAATTTGAAAGAAAGAACCTTTTTTCCTGAAATACAATAAATATTGAGTAGGGGTAATTTTAGCTAAAAGTGACACACCCGTGAAGGGTGTGATTACCGATCGGTAATTTCGACAGTTTAGAATTTAAAATTTTTTATGGAACTGTTGCGAGTTTCATAAAGAATTTAAGGAATATAAGCAAAGATTTGAATCAAAATCTTAGACCTAAGCCGCTCGATTCGCTCGCGGCTTCCGCGAATTACAGATCAGCAAAGATTTGAATCAAAATCTTCGAACTAAGCCGATCGCTTCGCTCGCGGCTTTCTTTATTATTTTAAATTTGCATATTTCCATCAAAAGTTCATAAGGTAAAAAATTTCGTTTATTTTTACTAAGAAAAAAAAGGTTTTTGATAATAAATTTATTTTATTTCGAAAAAGTAGCAATAATCGTAAAAGGGTATTGATAGGCTTGCTAAAGTAACTAATTTTAGCTGTCAAATACTTTTGTATTTTGAAGTAAATTAGTATAAATTTGTTTTTACTTTTATTTCGAAAAAGTAACAATAATCGTAAAAGGGTATTGATAGGCTTGCTAAAGTAACTAATTTTAGCTGTCAAATACTTTTGTATTTTGAAGTAAATTAGTATAAATTTGTTTTTACTTTTATTTCGAAAAAGTAGCAATAATCGTAAAAGGGTATTGATAGGCTTGCTAAAGTAACTAATTTTAGCTGTCAAATACTTTTGTATTTTGAAGTAAATTAGTATAAATTTGATATTATTTTAACTCCCTTTGAAAACCTCAATTTTCCATACAGAGGGAACGGGAATAGCATCCAATATTCCCTGAGAATGGTTGCGCATTCTCAGTTCCCTCTATATTTCGAACGAAGCTCTCATCGGTCTTTTTTTTTAATACTAAACGTTTTTTTCCCCTGTCACTTTTAGCTAAAATTTGGGTTTGCCGTCTTACGACTGGATTCAATTTGATTTCCGTTTATTGAAACACAACTAGAAATTGATGCAATGAAACACTAAAGACTTTTTAACATGATTAATGTGTTGTATTTTTGATCTATGACATTTTTTGTCAAAAATCAAATTCACCATTTTTATATATATATAAATTGGTGGAATATGTATATACAAAGATTACAGAAAGTCATTTTGTTGCATGCGAAGATCAGTCATAATGTAAACCTCTCAATTTTATTGTCGTGGGAAGTATCTCAATTCCTTCAAAAAAATTGAAAAACTATTTAATTTTAAAAATATAATACTTTTAATTAGTTAATTAATTGGAGATATTTTTAAAAAATCACTTTTGATAATACTTTTGAGAACTTTAATTAAAAAAATATATTCAAAAATATCCAGGATATCAAGAGGGAATTGTTCCTTATGAGGTATATAGTTATGATGTATACCTCATAAGGAACAATTCCCTCCTTAAAACGAGAAAACTTGTTCGAAATTGTTTATCATTTCGAACAAGTTTTCTCGTTTTTAATAAGAAACTAAAGGCTATGAGGCACTGATTATATATTAGTGCCTCACAGCCTTTAGTTTCTAATAGATAGCTGGGAAACTTTCTCCAAATGATAAGTTATTCAGAGAAAGTTTCCCAGCTATCAAGAGGGAATTGTTCCTTATGAGGTATATAGTTATGATGTATACCTCATAAGGAACAATTCCCTCCTTAAAATCGTAGACATTTTTATACTTATTAATCAACCATTCAAAATCATATTCCTCTGAAAAGTTATTTTATTAAAAATTTAGAATTTTAATAAATATAGAGTTTGAATTTCATACAATACCTATATATTTTCAATAATGGAATTTGAAAACCATTCTCAAAAGTTCTCAGAAAACCTTTTTTTCATTAATTTTAAGAAATCTGAGTATTAAATTAAGTGATAAATTCGTTTGACACTACTTTAATTTTTAAATTCAAAAAATTATATGTGCTTCTTAAAATGACTCAAAAAATTTTATTATAAAATAATATATAATATTAAAAATCCCACAACATTTTTTACTTTACATAATCGTACTTCCTCGACGATTAATTTCCACTCAATTTCTATTGTTGACCGAACTTAGCATGCAACAATTTAGCATAATCGAAATCTTTGTTTTTTTGTTGTAAAATGTCTGATGGAAAAATTGCTCTTCATCTTGCATCAGAAAGAAATTCTAAAGAAATAATCGAAGTTTTTCTTTCATATGGTGCAAATTTCGATGAAAATGATAATGTTGGAAAAACCTCTCTTCATTTTCCAAAAGTATTGCCAAAACCGAGATCTTTGTTTGAATAATTGTTCTTTGTAATATAGTTAAATATTATATAGATATCAATTTATTTAAATCAAAAAACAAAATTTAATCATATTTCTTCATGAAATTATTCTGGAATTCAGTGATTCTTTCTAAAGCTTCATCGAACATCTTTCCTTCAGCAAGGAATGTTGATCTGAAGTGTGATGTTCCTGGAACTTGTCCGAAACCAGATCCTGGGTTCATTTGGACACCAGTTTCTTCAAGTAACTTGAGGCACCAGAAGAAATCAGGTGGTTGAACTTTGCGGCCAATTCTGCAGCTCTTTGCTGCTTCCAAAGCCTTGAGAGGTAACTTAAGAGATGGGAATAAGTACCATCCACCGTCAGCCTTCTTTGTAGAGATACCTGGTAACTTATTCAAGCACTCATAGAGTTCCTCTGACTTGACTTTGAGGTTCTCGATGTAACTGGCCTTCTGTTGGTCCCAAATTGACTTGCATTCATCAGATTCTGGTGGATGAACCATTGTATCAAGGATAACTTGGCCAACAGTGTTTGGACAAAGCGAATATGTGGACATCTTTGAGATCTGCTCCTTGACATCAATTGGAAAATGATATAATTCCATGTATCCGCCTCTGTGGCCGCATTCACCCATGAATCCCTTGGAAATTGAGTGGAGGGAAATTAATTGGACATCAGACTTCACTTGTGAAACCATCTTCTTGAAGGATATGAATGGTTTGGCTGAATTGTAAACACAGTCTTGGTAAACTTCATCAGCGATGATGCAGATCTTGTTTTGATCGCAGAACTCGATGATTGTACGCATATCTTGAGCAGAAAGAACACGACCTGTTGGATTGCAAGGATTTACAATAACCATTGCACGAATATCGATTCCCTGCTTTGTAGCTTCTGTATATGATTGCTGGAGATCGAATAAATCGATGGACCAATCATCAGATTCTTTAAGATAGAAAGGAACAACTTTTCCGTGTCTTAAAATGGTTTCACTTGCATAGATTGGGTATGTTGGGAATGGCATCATGATACCAACGTTGTCGTTATTGATAAGTAATGTCAAAAGGAAGACAATTGCATCAATTACACCAGAAGATAAGAAAATATCATCTGGTTTTGTTGGATATCCATCTCTCTTGTTGATGAATTCTGCAACATGTTGTCTAACAATGTCAATACCAGCGGATTTTGTGTAACCGCCAAATTCGCATGCCATTGAGTTAAGGATAACATTTACGCGATCTTTAACTTCGGCGGGCATTTGTGGTAAGTTGAGTAATGATCTATCTTCAATGCAGGCAACAACTTGTCTTGTAAATGAAAGTGGAGATTTTCCGACAGCAAAAGGATTACCGATACTGCACTGAATGAGATCCTTGAATGGCATTTTCTCGCCTGATCTAATGCGTTTCATAAATTGATCAGCAATTGTGTTGAGATGTCCACGAACTCCGTATTGAGATTGAATCAATTGCTGATTAATTGAGTTAATGTTGATGGGACGGCGACTACCATATGATGGGTTTGGAAGGGCAAAGTTCTTTGCGAATGAGCTTGCGTTGCTAAGCATAAAAATACTAAAAAATCTATTTTGACCAAAGAACTCTCAATTTTTTAATTTAACTCTATTGAAAAATAAAATCTCACACAATTTTAAATTGTGTAACCGATAGGTCATTCTTCAAAACTAATAATCCTTTACCACATATAGTAATAAATTTAAAGAATAAGATTATGAGTTTAGAAATTATACAAAGGTACATTCACTATTTTTGACAAAATTTTAAATTTTCATGGGGTTGTAAATCTTATAATAACTAGATGAATAAGGAATGAATCCCAGTATAATGTGCATCATTATATTAAACACTATATGTAAGGCTAATGATTCTATTAACACTTATGAAGATCTATAGTATTTGAGCAGATAAATTTGATAATTTCCAAAACTCTTATATTTCAAAATTAAAGTGTGCGGATGCATTTAAATGAGAGCAAAAAGAGATTGATGCTGTTAAAACTAGGTGTTAATTTGCAATTATTTCGCATCACAAGAACTACCCAGTAAATTCGGCTATCTTTCTTTGCAATTATTCTCCATTATACCTATAATATAATGGTTAGGGTTTGAAGAAAAGTTACTAGAGAATTATTGACTTTTGAAATAATGCAGAATTTTACTTGAAGAAATCATTAATTTATGAGTTCCAAATTGCTAAGCATGACGAAGGATCATTAAATTTGCTACAATTAAATACACTTATTGCAGAATTAAGATTTTTGAAATTAAAAGTTTGAAATATTGCCTTTTTGAATAAAAATTTAAATTTTATTATATAATCATGATAATATCTTATAGAAATTAAAAGAAAATATTTTAAACCATTCAAATATTTTGAATGTCTTATCAATTTAAAATATTAAAAGATAGCTTGATTTTATCGTCATTAGTTGTTATCAAAGTTTTCTTCTTTTGATGAACAACAGTAAATGATTTGTTAATAGCTTGTCTTCCTTTTTTGCACCAAAATCAAAATTCTCACCCGATCAGTAATCGAAAATTTTGTAGCATACGATTATTTTCCATTGAAAAATTATCACTAAAAAACTTTAAAAAATTAACTTTTATTCTTAATTTCATGTATGAAGGAGGTAGGAAATGACTTTAAGATTGACATCCTATTCATGGCTAAAGTTTTAGGAACTTTGAAGCCTAATTTGATATTGAAATTTTGGAAGATCAATGAATATGGGGATAAAAGTTGCATATCCTTGGACATTAAGAGGACATGTTATGAGAGTGGATAGCGTTCGACGATTCACTGAAAAAGTTACTCCTCGAAAAGACTATCTAAAGCCATCAAGTTTTTTGAATATTTTCTATCATCTTTTTATTTTTAGTAAATTAGGATGCTATATAAATAGTATGATTAAATATACAAAAATTTTTAATTTATTTTTCAAGGGAAAATAATCGTACGCTACAAAATTCTTTCGATTCATCATTCAATTGAGAATGATAATTTTGTAGCATATTTAGAAAAATGCTACAAAATTATTAAGTTATGATGATAATCTTGCACTCAATTTTGAAAGTAGTATATGTGGAAGGGGTGTGTGACTTTTTTTGTAAACGTAAGAATTCATACAATATCGAGCGATTTTATATCATTTTTTTAACATATGAAGTAAAAAATGTATGATTCTTACGGTTTTTATTCTTACGTTTTTGAATAAATCAAGATTTAAAAAATTTTCAAAATTGTAAGACATTTACACTCAGCCCAAACATAAACACATTAAAAAATTAACATTAATTTTAAAATAATTTATTTTTCATCTTTTATAAAAGAAGCTATATATAGATGATGTCAGATATTCCGCGATTAATTAAACATTGTTTAAATCCTGAATGGAATCAATGGAGTCATAAACGAGTAAAAGAAATTAGATATAATTATTTTCATGAATGAAAGATTCACTACCATAATGAAATAAAAAATAAACTTTAAAAATTCATGTCTTACATTTTTGAATAATTTATTTTTATTTTGTATGAAATGAGTGTCAAGACTAACGACGTGAAAAAATTAGGATTCACAAACGAGGAAATAAAGGATATATTAGAGGAGGCGGGTTATGAGGTTGATAAATATTATTTAAGAAATTGTCAAAAATTCGCGGAGTTTTTAAATGAGTTTGATTATGATGGAAAAATGAATAAAGATGATGTTATAAATTTCTTATATCCCACATCTAAAGAAGAAAAACCTAAAGAACCTGATGTTTTCCCTGAATATTATGAAGAACGGATTAAATATGATGAATACAATGAAATTGAAAAACTGGAAAAAATAAGAGATGAAATAGATGAAAAAATTAAGGAATTAAGAGAAGTTGAAAATGAAGTAGAGGGTTTAATGAATATCCCAGCTTCAGAATCAGAAGTTCAGAAATCTCATGAAGAAAGATATAAAAATTATGTCTCAGAATCAACACAAAATTTATTAGATGGCGAAATAGATGAAACACTTTCAGAAGAAGGTACTAAATTTATACGTAAACATAAGTTACAATTTATTGATAATGAAAAATACCCTTGTATCTTACTTTCACCCCCTCTCGATTCTGAGAAATTCAAAAAAGCTCTTAAAAACGTGACATATGCAACTAATACGATTAAGAAAGAAGATCATGATATTTACACAAATTATTATTTAAATAAATGCACGGGTGTTGATAAAGTTTTTGATTTATTAGATAAAATATCAAAAGAAACCATTGGAACATATAAAATTTTATGTGATTGTGGTTTCATTATTGAAGATACCAATAATGTTTCATATGAAAGAACAGCACCGAAGGAAGATGAAGTTGAAAGGTCTATACCATTCGTTATTAAGAACATAAAAGATATGAAAACTTATAAACATTATATTTATTCATTTATTTCAGAAAAAATGGAAGCAACCCATAAAACATCTTCTCATCATTTTATAGCTATTCATACATTCCTTTTCAAAGTTGTGAAATTAAATAAGACAGGAATTAGATTTAATGTATCCGGGTACGCATTCTTGAGTAAATTAAAATGTATTCGTCACGTCGCAGATGATAAAAATTTATGTGTTCTTAATTCATTTTATGGGCTTTAAAAAATAAACTTTATTTTTTAATTTTTTATTCTTACATAAATGAACAAAAACGGAACCGCTAAAATGAATGATAATCAAATTAGAGCAGAAGGTAGAAGGTTATTTAAACGCTTCTATAACATTCCTGATGGTGTTAATCCTAAAACTCGTAGAAGCTATTTAAATGAAGCAATAGATGCATATGAAGGGTTTGACATTTCATCAGAAAGTGAGAGATTAGCGAGAATGTTAAATGTTAATATTGATTTCTATTATTGTGATCCTCAACCAGAAGACGTGGACATAAATAAGGTAGACTTTCCATTAGTGGATTCAATAATGATAGATCCAGAATTTGAAACAATAAATATTTTATTAACACAGAGTCCATGTGGAAAACTTCACGCTGACAGAATAACAGACGTTGAAGCACTCACCGGCTATAGAGTTTGTCCATATTGTAAAGAAGAAGTTTATTCTATCCGTGATGATCCAGAAAGGAAAAACCAAAGAAGATTTTTAAAGCATTGTGAGAAATGTAAAGAAAATAATGGAAGATTAATTCAAGACGTTCAATTGCAAAAGACACAGCAACCATATGCACCACATATTACGAAACAGAAGATATATCAGTGGTTATTAGCTCATAATTTGCAGGAATATTATCAACCGACAAGATATTATATTACTTTTGACTTCGAAACATTAGAGACTAAAGAAGAATTACAACTTTCTGAGTGTGCAACTTTGAACGCTTACTTAAAACCATTCATGGTATCATCAACGGTTAAATTAAACGATAAAACGTATACAAGGAATTTTTGCTTAACTTCAAGTGATTCTTTTATTTCTGATTGGATTGAGTTTTTATTTTCAACATGTTCATTAGTTGCTAAATCAAATATTGAACAATATGAAGAATTAATGAAGTCCCATACATTAAATGAAAAACAGAAGGAAGCATTTAAAGAACTTCTAGATGAGGAATTCAATAAAGTGAATATCATAGGTTTTAATTCGGGAAAGTTTGATTTAAATTTAATTCTTCGTGATTTAAATACTGCAAAATGGAAAATAAAATCAATGCTGGGTTCTTCTTCTCAATTTAAGCAAATCATTGTAAAGAAAACAAACACTCCATATGAATTGAGATTTATTGACATCAGAAATTATATAGCGGGTGGGACATTAGACCAATTCACTCAAGATTTCGGAAACAATAAATCACGTGTTAAATCCTTTTTCCCCTATCAATTCATCACGTGGGAAAATTACGAAGAAGAATTATATAAAGTGGAACCATTCACTCAAGATTCATTTTATTCAGCATTAACTCAAGAAACTATATCAGATAGTGATTATCAAATATATCTCAATGATGCTAAAAACTTTAAGAATAGATTAGAATATTTTATTCATTATTGCAATAAAGATGTTGAAATTATGATTGACCCAATTGATAAAATTATTGAAGAAACATTTGTTTATAAAATTGACATGCTTCATAATCTTTCTTTATCATCGAATGCTTCAATGATTCGTTACGCTTTAGCATATAAAGACTTTAATCCTAATGAAAAATATCCTGAGGAAGAGATAGAATCAAGTTTTGAATTAACGAAAAAGTATTGGAAATATAAAATTGAATCATATAAGAAACAAGATGAAAAAGCAGAAAGGGATACTAAAAATAATGTTTCAATGGATGATTTTCAATACTATCACGATTTAATCCTTTCATCTAAATGTAAAATGTGTGGTAAAGCGTTTACATATGCAAATAAACCAACATTGGATAGAATCGATAATGAAAAACCACACACCAAAGAAAATTGTCAGTTAATGTGTTGTTATTGCAATGTCGTAAAATCAAATAAAGATGAAGATGTTCAACGTTTAAGAATCAATTTAAGAAATTATGCATTAAAAAATAATTTACCAATGACTTTAGATTCAGTTGAAGCTTATCACATTCTCCGTAATGGAATTACTGGTGGTCTATCAAATGTTCAACATAGAGTAAATCTTAAAGGAATCACGCACATTAATAAACTTTCATATAGTCCAGAAACTAAAACTGTATCAAATGAGGACACCACCAACATTATGACTCATTTCGTTGGTGTTGACTTTAATTCATTATATCCTTCATCATTTTCATCTAATCCTCATGATTTCATTCAATATACTGACCATAAAATGTATATGCCGGGAAGATTGAATGGTGTTATCATTTGTGATACAGCAACAAAGAAAGCAAAAGCACTGGGAATAATTAAGAAAAAAAATACTTTATTCGTGGCTGAAGTAAAGGGTCACATTGATGAAAAATACATTAATGATTACATTAACTTTTTACCGATAATAAGAAACTTAGATATTATCACAGATGAAAAAACAATTGGCAGTTTTATGTATGATTACATGAAATCAAACAATCTACCAGTTGACCAGAAACAGAGAAAATTAACTCAGTTAGCATCAACACACAACCAATATCAACCATTTTCTTCTTATTATCTTTGGTATCTAATAGACAGATTTCATTTTATCATCGATGATATTCAATCAATTTTAACATTTACGAAAAACACCTGTTTTAATGAATTTGCGAACGAATTTATGAACGAAAGACAAAAGGCTGAATTAGAAGGAAATAAAGGAAAAAGTTTATTTTGCAAAATTTCACTTAATGGATCATATGGTTACGATGCAATGAATACACAAAATTACGCAAAGACTAAAATAATGAATGCACAGAAGGCACGCGTTGCATGTATGTCAAATAAGTTTAAAAACATAAGAGAAATAGGTGAAGATACGTATCAAGTGATGCTCAAAGATAGATTTTATAGATGTGATACATGTTTACAAGAGGCATTCTTCACTTTAGATAACGCAAAATACTGGTATTTGGTTTTCATTTATGATTTTATGTATAAATGCATGGATGTTAATCGTTTTCATTTCATTGAAGGTGATACTGATTCATCTTATTGGGCTATTGCTGGCGACCCAAATCTTCCTAACACTCAAGCATTTCAAGCAATTGTAACCGATAAACAATTTTATGATAAAAACATTTTCAAATTCGCACCATTTGATTTCTTCTGTTTTGATGAGAAATTTAAACCTAAATTAAAGAATAAAGCTGAAGAAAAAGCACATGAGAAAAAATTATTGGGTTTAGCAATTGAGAAACAAGGTGATAACATGGTTGCTTTATGCCCTAAATGTTATACATCATTCAACGGTTCAATTGATGGAAGTGATTTTAAAAAGATTGCACAAAAAATGAAGGGTGTTAGTTTACGACAAAATAAGCAATTAACACCTAAAAAATATTTGGATATAATAAATGATAAAGTGATATTTGATGGTCAGAATATTAATTTACAACTTAAAAACGGTCAATGACTCGCTTAACAATCGGTAAGACTGCATTAACAGGAGCACACACTAAGGCTGTATGTTGTGAAAATGGATGTTGTATGCCATTTATTTAATACAATTTAAAATTTTATTTTTAATGAAATGCCACAGAAGAGACAAAAGGAACCGTTAATAATGGTTTTGATACTATGATTCAAAGAGGTGGGCACCCTTAAACATTTATTTTATTTTTATATAAATGAATAACACAGATTTAAAAATTTTAATTGATGATTTAGTACTTAATCAAAATTTTCTTAGTTATTATGATTTAAAATCATATCTCCAAAAATATGATAACATATAACGGGTGATGATATGGAATATTATTATCCATATTATAAAAATGAATTTTGAAATATCATGATAAAATAATTTCTGAAATTAAAGACAAAATTAAAAATAATGAATATACAAAGGGAAAAACTAAATCACAACTTAAACAGTTGAAAGATTTCAAAAATAAAGTATTAACAGAAGAAGATATTGATGAATTATATAATTTATATAATCCTGAGCCGCAAAAGCAAAAGGAACAAAACGCCCAGGTTCTTCAGACCATAAATGATGCACAAGCTTTAATTTATGATTCATTAGTTAAACCATATTCAGCCCGACTTTTAAATGAAGATCAACTTTTGGAATTCATCCTTCAACATAAACTCGAAGCAGGAAAGTATATCAAACCTTTATATACAGCATATTTAAAACAAATGAATAGAATACATCCAGAATTAATGAAAGGAGGAATGAATTCCAAAACTTCATCATCCAAAATCAAAGCAGATAAAATTAAACCACCTACAATACCAAAACCTCCAACGACAGTACCACCTCCTCCTTCAGTTAATCCTTCATCATTCACTTTATTATATCCATTTCAAACATTAAAGAAACAAAAAGATTTTAAAAAGGGTTTCAAAATATTAAATAAACCAATTGACCCAAAAATTCAACCGTTAAAGGAAAAATTTAGTCGCCCTTCATTTGCTCCATATCCATATTCATACGAAATCGATCATTTAGAATATTCAAAAGGAAACGTTACTTATTTATTTGCCATTAACATTAACACTAGATATTTATATTGCATTCCGGTGAAAGGGAAAACAGAACAGGAAACAAGAAGAGCTATTCAATACTTACTAGATCATGAAAGAGTAGATAATATAAGGGGTGATGGTGATAAAGGATTTCAGGCAGCTATGCTCATTATTTCCCACAAATTAATTTTTTTTTTCATCCTCTCCATATACGTTTCATAATAAAATAGTTGATGCGGTAATGAGAACTCTTAGAGATGCGTTAGGGGTTAACGGTCAGATATACTGGGATGGAAATCATGACTCCATCATACAGCAGTTAGTATATTATTACAATAATACATGGCATAGAACTATAAACATGAAACCAGTGGAAATGAAAAATGATATTTCAAAAGAATGGGAATATATTAGAAAGCAAATGGAAAGGTTGAATGATGTTAAACGTGAACAAATTAATTCGGGGCTCATGAATTTTAAACAAGGGGATAAAGTTTTGATTCATCTCGATTATGGAAAAACTGATAAATCAATGACAAAAAGAAGACGAAGATTTGACACAATAGCTGAATTTGTTAGATATATTAACGGCAATGCATTAGTTGAAGTTGACAATAAATTAATAGAAATTCCGATTTATTTTATTACTCCATTATATTTAAATAATATTTAATTTTTTTATTTCGTAAGAAATGAGTGACAACGAAGCAGTCAAGAGTCCTGACGATGAATATAAAAAGAAACTAAACAGAATTAAATCAAAAATATGCTATTACAAAAAGAAGCAGCAATGTGATGGGGTTGATGCCCATAAAACTAATGGAACTGAAAACGATGAAGAGAGGAAAGAAATAATCGAAAAATTAGAAACTTACCGTTCAATCCTTAAACTGAGTGAAGCAAAAATAAAAGAATTTAATAGAATAAATAAATTGATTGGAAGAGATGAATTTAATAAAGATGAATTTTTAAACTCTATCCAAATTTAATTTTTATTTTTCTTTGACAACATCTCTCTTTCCATCATTACTGCATAACCACATTTTCTCAGTTTTAGTGGTTTGTTATTTTTAGCAAGTTCTCGCATCATTTTTATCGTTTCCTCCCTTGTTATGATTCGTGGTAAATTTTGAGCTTGTGGGGTATCCATTTATGATAAAAATAAAAATTTGTTATCAGTTATTTTATCGTTAATGTTTTCAGGTTATTCAATAATTAATTATTTTTGAAGAACTGAAGGTGTCACCATGTCACCATGTCACCAGGTCATTTAACTTCTCTGAAAAAATGAGACAACATGACATTTTGACAACAACACAGGAGGATGGCAGTTATGAATTATTTTTGAAGAACTGAAGGTGTCACCATGTCACCATGTCACCATGTCACCAGGTCATTTAACTTCTCTGAAAAAATGAGACAACATGACATTTTGACAACAGTCCTGGAAATAAATGTTTACGTTAATGTTTACGTTAATGTTTTCAGGTTATTCAATAATTAATTATTTTTGAAGAACTGAAGGTGTCACCATGTCACCATGTCACCAGGTCATTTAACTTCTCTGAAAAAATGAGACAACATGACATTTTGACAACAGTCCTGGAAATATGATGCAGTCCAAAAATAAAGTTAGTTTTAAAATTATTTTTATTTTTTTATTCCTATATAAATGACGGCAACAAACAACAACAGTAACTTTATCATTTCTGATGAACAAGTTATTGATTCATTAGCTGAGGAATTAGTTGTGGCAGAAACTAAAACCCTCAACGAAAGAATTGGTGAAAACAAGATTGATTTACACAACTACCTCAAACATGATGGAGGAAGAGGAAGGAAAACTGGTATGGCTTTATTAGTAAATAAAATTTCAAATTTAACGATTATAGATGTTGATATCAATAAATCGTACAATGATGAACTTAAAGAAACAGTTAGAAAAGACATTTTATCAAAACTTTCGGATAAAGATGTTATCATTAAAACCGCTTCAGGAGGTCTTCACATTTATTGCAACACTAATTTCTTCTATGCAGTTTCGAACAGAATGATTAAATGTTATTCCTGCAATGATTATGATATTGACATAATGACTTCTATGGATGATTCAAAACGTTCTTTAGTGGTTATGGCTGATTCAAGAGTTCGAAAGAATGCAACAGAACCAATCAATACATACTCATTCATTCGTGGAAGTTATGATTCAACATTAACTAGAACAGTGAATGATATATTAAATGATTTGAATATTAAGGTAAGAGTTGAACAGAAGAACGAAGAAATAAAGACTATCATGAATGAAAACAAAGATGTAAACATTGACGATAAACTTGCCCAGAGCATAGTTGATGCATCTGTGATTTTGAAGTACATAATGACGGTGGAAACATGAATTTAGAAAAAGAAGTTACATTATTCACACTGTTTCAAGCAATTAATTCGTTACCTAATCATTTAATTAATGAAGCATACGATAACGTTTATAACTTCTGCAATTTAACTGAAAATGCAAAAAGTAATTTTGAAAAAGCACGTAGTAGATATGCACATTTAATGACTTCTCCATTTGTTTTAGTGAAGATTCTAAAACTTTATCAAAAGGAATATTATGATGAATATGTTTTACCTTTATTACGTAAGCCAAAAATAACATTTGATATAAAACTTGATGACTCGTTTTTGATAACAGATATTAGACGCAAGGCTGAAAATCATCAGTATAAAAACAGTTCTGAAGTAATTGAGGATTTATCACGTGTAATCCGTTTTGTAGATTGTGGAAATAAATACTTCATTCAGAAAGATTACAACATACACGACAAAATGAATCAAATATCATTTGTTCTTCAGTCAAACATGAAAGAGTCACTCAAAATGATTAAATTATTTAAAGAAGAAGGTAAAACAATAACAGCATGGGACATACTACTAAATCAATTGTCTTCATTAACCGTTAAGGGTGTTTGCTTTAAATCTGATTCCCCAGATGTTTTCTCAACGTTTCAAGGTTATAAATACAACGTTCTCGAAAAAGTAGATTACTCAAAAATTGAGATGTTTATGGATTTCATTAAAGAAGCCATATGCGATAATAACGATGAAGTGTATAAATACCTTCTCAGCTGGATTGCATCAATGATTCAACATCCTGGAATCAAGAATGAAACAGCAATTATTTTGAAAGGAATTCAGGGAACAGGTAAAAACAGATTCACAGACATTATTTCTGAACTTCTCGCTGGTTATTCATGTAAAAACATTACCGAAATAGGTGAGCTAACGGGTAATTTCAACTCAGTAGTTGAAAATAAAATGTTTCTTGTACTTAATGAACTCAAGAATGTTGGTGAAGACAGACTCGCAAACTTCAACGCTTTGAAATCAATTATAACGGATAATGAGATTAGAATTAATGAAAAGAATCAACCCAGAAGAACTGCTCAGAATGTTGCAAACTTCATTTTCGTAACTAATAACGTCTACCCTGTCAAAATTGAAGTTGGAGACAGAAGATACGTAGTTTTAAGGGTTAATGGTAAATTCAAGGGTCAATTTGATTACTTCAAGAATTTAATGGATTCATGCACAAAGGAATTTTATGATAACCTTTTAACATATTTTATCAATTACGACCTTTCATCATTTACTGTACGAATCATACCGATGACTGAAGCCAAACAAGATTTAATTGAATTATCAACAAATCCTTTAGATGTATGGATAAATACACATTATGATGAATTGTGTGCAGGTATGATATGTAAAAATGCTCTATTCTGCAAACCATCAGACATGAAAGACAAGAATTTCCAAATGAGCATTAAGGATAAATGTGATAGGAAACAGAGAAGAATAGACGATAAACAAACATGTTGTTATGTTTTGAAAGAAAAAATGAAAGGATTATATAAACAGGTTGAACCAAACGATAATGAGGATTCATTTACTGACGATGAAATACCTGTAAATGATGCTTTATAAAGTTGATTTGGAATTTATTTTTGCATTAATCCTCCTGTGTTGTTGTCAAAATGTCATGTTGTCTCATTTTTTCAGAGAAGTTAAATGACCTGGTGACATGGTGACATGGTGACACCTTCAGTTCTTCAAAAATAATTCATAACTGCCATCCTCCTGTGTTGTTGTCAAAATGTCATGTTGTCTCATTTTTTCAGAGAAGTTAAATGACCTGGTGACATGGTGACATGGTGACATGGTGACACCTTCAGTTCTTCAAAAAATAATTCATAACTGCCATCCTCCTGTGTTGTTGTCAAAATGTCATGTTGTCTCATTTTTTCAGAGAAGTTAAATGACCTGGTGACATGGTGACATGGTGACACCTTCAGTTCTTCAAAAATAATTCATAACTGCCATCCTCCTGTGTTGTTGTCAAAATGTCATGTTGTCTCATTTTTTCAGAGAAGTTAAATGACCTGTGTGTGACATGGTGACATGGTGACACCTTCAGTTCTTCAAAAATAATTCATAACTGCCATCCTCCTGTGTTGTTGTCAAAATGTCATGTTGTCTCATTTTTTCAGAGAAGTTAAATGACCTGGTGACATGGTGACATGGTGACACCTTCAGTTCTTCAAAAATAATTCATAACTGCCATCCTCCTGTGTTGTTGTCAAAATGTCATGTTGTCTCATTTTTTCAGAGAAGTTAAATGACCTGGTGACATGGTGACACCTTCAGTTCTTCAAAAATAATTCATAACTGCCATCCTCCTGTGTTGTTGTCAAAATGTCATGTTGTCTCATTTTTTCAGAGAAGTTAAATGACCTGGTGACATGGTGACATGGTGACACCTTCAGTTCTTCAAAAATAATTCATAACTGCCATCCTCCTGTGTTGTTGTCAAAATGTCATGTTGTCTCATTTTTTCAGAGAAGTTAAATGACCTGGTGACATGGTGACATGGTGACACCTTCAGTTCTTCAAAAATAATTCATAACTGCCATCCTCCTGTGTTGTTGTCAAAATGTCATGTTGTCTCATTTTTTCAGAGAAGTTAAATGACCTGGTGACATGGTGACATGGTGACACCTTCAGTTCTTCAAAAATAATTCATAACTGCCATCCTCCTGTGTTGTTGTCAAAATGTCATGTTGTCTCATTTTTTCAGAGAAGTTAAATGACCTGGTGACATGGTGACATGGTGACACCTTCAGTTCTTCAAAAATAATTCATAACTGCCATCCTCCTGTGTTGTTGTCAAAATGTCATGTTGTCTCATTTTTTCAGAGAAGTTAAATGACCTGGTGACATGGTGACATGGTGACACCTTCAGTTCTTCAAAAATAATTCATAACTGCCATCCTCCTGTGTTGTTGTCAAAATGTCATGTTGTCTCATTTTTTCAGAGAAGTTAAATGACCTGGTGACATGGTGACATGGTGACACCTTCAGTTCTTCAAAAATAATTCATAACTGCCATCCTCCTGTGTTGTTGTCAAAATGTCATGTTGTCTCATTTTTTCAGAGAAGTTAAATGACCTGGTGAGTGACATGGTGACATGGTGACACCTTCAGTTCTTCAAAAATAATTCATAACTGCCATCCTCCTGTGTTTTGTCAAAATGTCATGTTGTCTCATTTTTTCAGAGAAGTTAAATGACCGGTGACATGGTGACATGGTGACACCTTCATTCTTCAAAAATAATTCATAACTGCCATCCTCCTGTGTTGTTGTCAAAATGTCATGTTGTCTCATTTTTTCAGAGAAGTTAAATGACCTGGTGACATGGTGACATGGTGACACCTTCAGTTCTTCAAAAATAATTCATAACTGCCATCCTCCTGTGTTGTTGTCAAAATGTCATGTTGTCTCATTTTTTCAGAGAAGTTAAATGACCTGGTGACATGGTGACATGGTGACACCTTCAGTTCTTCAAAAATAATTCATAACTGCCATCCTCCTGTGTTGTTGTCAAAATGTCATGTTGTCTCATTTTTTCAGAGAAGTTAAATGACCTGGTGACATGGTGACATGGTGACACCTTCAGTTCTTCAAAAATAATTCATAACTGCCATCCTCCTGTGTTGTTGTCAAAATGTCATGTTGTCTCATTTTTTCAGAGAAGTTAAATGACTGGTACATGGTGACATGGTGACATGGTGACACCTTCAGTTCTTCAAAAATAATTCATAACTGCCATCCTCCTGTGTTGTTGTCAAAATGTCATGTTGTCTCATTTTTTCAGAGAAGTTAAATGACCTGGTGACATGGTGACATGGTGACACCTTCAGTTCTTCAAAAATAATTCATAACTGCCATCCTCCTGTGTTGTTGTCAAAATGTCATGTTGTCTCATTTTTTCAGAGAAGTTAAATGACCTGGTGACATGGTGACATGGTGACACCTTCAGTTCTTCAAAAATAATTCATAACTGCCATCCTCCTGTGTTGTTGTCAAAATGTCATGTTGTCTCATTTTTTCAGAGAAGTTAAATGACCTGGTGACATGGTGACATGGTGACACCTTCAGTTCTTCAAAAATAATTCATAACTGCCATCCTCCTGTGTTGTTGTCAAAATGTCATGTTGTCTCATTTTTTCAGAGAAGTTAAATGACCTGGTGACATGGTGACATGGTGACATGGTGACACCTTCAGTTCTTCAAAAATAATTCATAACTGCCATCCTCCTGTGTTGTTGTCAAAATGTCATGTTGTCTCATTTTTTCAGAGAAGTTAAAATGACCTGGTGACATGGTGACATGGTGACACCTTCAGTTCTTCAAAAATAATTCATAACTGCCATCCTCCTGTGTTGTTGTCAAAATGTCATGTTGTCTCATTTTTTCAGAGAAGTTAAATGACCTGGTGACATGGTGACATGGTGACACCTTCAGTTCTTCAAAAATAATTCATAACTGCCATCCTCCTGTGTTGTTGTCAAAATGTCATGTTGTCTCATTTTTTCAGAGAAGTTAAATGACCTGGTGACATGGTGACATGGTGACACCTTCAGTTCTTCAAAAATAATTCATAACTGCCATCCTCCTGTGTTGTTGTCAAAATGTCATGTTGTCTCATTTTTTCAGAGAAGTTAAATGACCTGGTGACATGGTGACATGGTGACACCTTCAGTTCTTCAAAAATAATTCATAACTGCCAATCCTCCTGTGTTGTTGTCAAAATGTCATGTTGTCTCATTTTTTCAGAGAAGTTAAATGACCTGGTGACATGGTGACATGGTGACACCTTCAGTTCTTCAAAAATAATTCATAACTGCCATCCTCCTGTGTTGTTGTCAAAATGTCATGTTGTCTCATTTTTTCAGAGAAGTTAAATTGGTGACTGGTGACATGGTGACACCTTCAGTTCTTCAAAAATAATTCATAACTGCCATCCTCCTGTGTTGTTGTCAAAATGTCATGTTGTCTCATTTTTTCAGAGAAGTTAAATGACCTGGTGACATGGTGACATGGTGACACCTTCAGTTCTTCAAAAATAATTCATAACTGCCATCCTCCTGTGTTGTTGTCAAAATGTCATGTTGTCTCATTTTTTCAGAGAAGTTAAATGACCTGGTGACATGGTGACATGGTGACACCTTCAGTTCTTCAAAAATAATTCATAACTGCCATCCTCCTGTGTTGTTGTCAAAATGTCATGTTGTCTCATTTTTTCAGAGAAGTTAAATGACCTGGTGACATGGTGACATGGTGACATGGTGACACCTTCAGTTCTTCCAAAAATAAGTTCTCATAACTGTCCATCCTCCTGTTGTTTGCTGGTCGAAAATGTCAATGCTTGTCTCATTTTTTCAGTAGAGTTAAAATGACCGGTGACATGGTGAACATGCGGACACTCTTCAGTTCTTCAAAAATAATTCATAATGCATTCCTCCTGGGTTGGTTGTTCAAAGAATGTCATCGTTGTCTCATTTTTTAGAGAAGTTTAAGCATGTATTCCTTGGTGAAATGTTGACATTTGGCTGTGCACCTTGCTAGTTCTTCAAAAATAATCTTCATTAACTGCATCTCTCTAGTGTTAGTTGTCAAAATGTCATGTTGTCATCATTTTTTCAGGAAGTTAAATGTTATCCGTGGTGACTCACTGGTGACATGGTGATGCACCTTCATCCTTCTTCTAAAAAATAATTACTATAATCTGCCATGTCCTCTCTCTGTGGTTTGATTGTCCAAAAGTTTCATTGTCTTGTCTCATTTTTTTCAGAGAAGTTAAATGATCCTGGTGAATCTTGGTGACATGGTGACACTTCACCTTCCTTCAAAAATAATTCAATACTGCCTCCTCCTGTGTTGTTGTCAAATGTCATGTTGTCTCATTTTTCAGAGAAGTTATAATGACCTGGTGACATGGTGACATGGTGCACCTTCAGTTCTTCAAAAATAATTCATAACTGCCATCCTCCTGTGTTGTTGTCAAAATGTCATTTGTTCCATTTTTCAGAGAAGTTAAATGACCTCGGTGACATGGTGACATGGTGATGGACACCTTCAGTTCTTCAAAAAATAATCATAACTGCCCATCCCTCTGTGTTGTTGTCAAAATGTCATGTTGTCTCATTTTTTCAGAGAAGTTAAATGACCTGGTGACATGGTGACATTGGTGACACCTTCAGTTCTTCAAAAATAATTCATAACTGCCATCCTCCTGGTTGTTGTCAAAATGTCATGTTGTCTCATTTTTTCGAAGAAGTTAAAATGACCTGGTGACATGGTGACATGGTGACACACTTCAGTTCTTCAAAAATAATTCATAACTGCCATCCTCTGTGTTGTTGTCAAAAGGTTCTCATCGTGATCTTCATCGTGTGATTACAGTAGAACTTTCTAATGCCGGTGTATCAATTGAAGTACATCGTATTGCGGTCCGTTTGGTTGAACATTGTACGGTGACACCCTTCAGTTTCTCAAAATAATTCATAATGACTGCCATCCTCC